GAACCACACATTTCCAGGGTGACAACTTCAAGAGAACAAAGTCACTAACCTTATACTCTCGATCCCTAGAATGTTGGTTCACAATACTCTTCTGTCGGTCTTGTGCTACCTTCAGGTTCTTCTTGATCAGCTGGATATTAGTATTTGTGGTGTCAACCATTTCTGGTCCTACTAACACCCGTTCATCGACCTATATCCAACACAATGGTGTCCAACACGCCTTCCCATACAGTGCATCAAAAGGTGTCATGCCGATATTGGAGTGATAACTGTTGTTGTAAGCAAATTCAACCAACAGCAGATAGCTATCCTAACTACCCTTCCACTGGAGAACATACACTGTCAACATGTCCTTCAAAGTCTGAATTGTCCTTTCAGATTGACCATCTGTTTGTGGATAATAGGCAGTGCTATACAATAGCTAAGTATCCATGGTGGCATTGAATGCTTTCCAAAACCTAGAGGTGAACCTTGGATCTCTGTCTGATACGATAGTGACGGGTACACCATGAAGTGTGACAATATTATCAATGAATAACTTTGCCAATTTCTCCAATGAATAGGTCTGTCGAACAAGTAAGAAATGAACGGTCTTGGTTAGTCGGTCCACAATCACCTAGATGCCATTGAACCTCGATTGCATCTTCGGCAGACCATACACAAAATCCATGGTGATGTCTTCTCGCTTTCATGCTATTATCGGGAGATTCTGCATTAGCCCCTCAGGTCTTTATCTCTCTGCTTTCACCTGTTGGCAAATAATACATCTACTCACATATTCCACCACATCCCGTTTCATTCCAACCCAGTACTAGAACAGACGGATAGTGTGATATAGTTTGGTGCTTCTCAGATGCATGGCATACGCCGAGATGTGAGCTTCATCAAGAATTTCCTTCTTCACCATTTCGTTATCCTTAGGCACATACAACCTATTTCCCAACACTAAGGCTCCATCCCTCTGGATTTTAAAATCTCGCATCTTCCCATCCTGTACCTGTTTCTTTAGTACTGCACACTGCGGATCAAGTTCCTAAGCTTCCCTAACCATATCCACCAAGACGGGTCTAACCTGGAAGTGTGCCACCAAGGCTCCTTGTGAATCTGGTGTCATGGTAACGCTGATTTCTCGGAAAGAAAATAGTAGCGGGGAGAAGGATATCATTGACATATATGAGAACCACAGTGAAAAAACTACCACAGGTTTTTGTAAATAATGAATAATTTGCCTTGGAATGTTGAAATCTAGCTTGTTATATAGCACTAGAAAACTTGGAAAACTAGATATGAAAGACTTGTTTGAGAATATACAAAGACTTGTTAAGCCGACACACCAAGTGCTCCCCCTATCAGCGAAGTTCGGGATGAGGGTCCATATACACCTTCTCGTGCAAGTCGCCATGGAGAAAGGCGTTCTGATCATTGAGCTAATGAATTTTCCAATTGCGAGAAACAGCGACTGGGACAATGCAACGGAGAGTGATGAGTTTGGCAGTTAGGGAAAAGGTCTCAATGTAATCGATGCCTTTAATTTAGAGGTAGCCATTTGCCACAAGACGAGCTTTGTAGTGTTCAATGGTCCCATCGGAATGATATTTGATACAATAAACTCATTTGCATCTAATGGGTTTATGCCCCGCAAGTAAAGCGACCAACATCCATGTATTATTCTATTGCAAAACATTGAGTTCGATAGTCATGGCTTGCTACCAATTGGGGTATGCGGCAGCTTGTGAATAAGATGTGGGTTCTTTATAGCTTGAGATAGTAGCTAAAAAAACACAATGTTGGATAGATAGTCTTGAATATGAAACAAAATTTGATAATGGATACTTCGTACCTTGAATAGAAGTTAGCATGAAGTCGGACAACAACACTTGGGTAAAAGTTATGTTTGACATATGGTAATCTTTATGCCACAATGATGGTTGGTGGGTTCGAGTAGAATGTCTAGTAGGAGCAGTCAAAAGAAGAGATGATGGATTGGGATAGGTTGAATTGTCATGTGGAGAGGTATAAATTGTTGATGCATGAAGAGATGTGTGGGGTGGTGGCCTCTGAATCATGTGATGCAGGTGGTGGTGGATAGGTAGAAGGTGAGGAAATAATGGGTAGGGTGGTGGCATCTGACTCATGAGATATAAGTGGTGGTGGATAGGCGGATGGAGAGGAAGTAATATATGGGGTGGTGGAGCCCACATATTGACTAGGATAATAAGGGTGAACTATGGGTAAAACAATTTTTGAGTTTTGATAGTGGTTTTCTTGAGTTAGAGATCCATAGGAAAAAATATTTTCATGGAATGTCACATCTCTACTAACAGGAAATTTTTGTGTCCTCGAATTATAAAGCTTATATCCTTTTTGACATGTTGGATAGCCAACAAAAATACAACGACGCGCACGTGAATCGAAATTTTTGTAGTGGTTGAATAACAATAGCATAACAAAGGCACCCAAATACCCTGAGATGATCAAGCTTGGTGGATCGATTGTATAACCTCTCATAGGGTGACTTATTTGATAGTAATGGAGTGGATATCCTTTTGATAAGATAAACTACAGTGAGAACATACTCCCCCTAAAAACTTAATGGCAAATTGGCTTGGAAGAGCAAAGCATGAGCCATAATGAGAATGTGGCGATGCTAGCGTTCAATTACTCCATTTTGTTGTGGAGTGTAAACACATGAAAGTTGAAATTCAACCTCACTATCAAGGAAAAAATCTCGTAATGAGATAAATTCCGCTTCATTATCGGACCTTATTGTTTTAATGGTGGTACTAAATTGACTATGAATGAAGGTGACAAAGGATTTCATGAGGGATTGTGTTTTAGACTTATGGGTTATCAAAAATATCCAACTGCACCTTGTGTAATCATCAACAATGGTAAGAAAGTAACGTGCCCCATAATTAGATTTAAGTTTGTGAGGACCCCAAATATCACAATGTAATAAAGCAAAGGGCACAGTAGAAGAGATGGAACTTAATGAAAAAGGTAATCTTGTATGTTTAGCCATGGGCCAACATCACTATTATGTTCAATAGAAACAGTACCAGAAGGAAGCAAATTGGAAAGTAATTTGAGTCGAGTCGGTGAAGGATGACCAAGATGTCAATGCCATATACTAGATGTGTGGGAAACATGACATGAAAGGGGAGTTGTCGGGGATGTGTCTAGTGGTGACATGTAATAAAGACCGCCTTGCTGTTTACCCAAGCCAATTATCCTCCATGTAGCCAAGTCCTATAAAACACAAAAGTCAGGAAAGAGAATGACATAACAATTTGAAGATTTAGTGACTTTGCTGGTAGACACCAAATTAAGACGGAATGAGGGAACACAAAGAGTATTGTTCAAAGTGATATTCTTGTCAAAAGTATCGAGCCAATTGAAGAAATAGGAGCAGATGAACCAGTGGGTAAATTAACTGAAGGCATGGAAGAAGAGTCGGATGTAATGTGATCCATCTCTCCACTATCCAAAATTCATGTATTAGAAGATACAAAATTAATTGATGGAAACTCATAAAAAACTTGACTTGCCGTATTTGCAAATGTATTGCAATTTTCTGATTTTTGTAATTTTAACATGGATATAGCTGCTATAAGCTGTTGAAGTTGTTCTGGTGTGAGCCCAGCAAGCAATTTGAAAAGATGCGTCTGCTGATCGGAGATAGAATTGGAGTTGATGTTTGAATTTTCTCCCATTCCCATGATTAAATTGTGATTCAAGACAAGGAAAAAAATATCTTTCTCTTGAAAGCTTCAAAAGCACATGAAACAAAGAGGAAAATCAGGAGCCACCATGAAGGGGCTCTGATACCATCATAAGAACCGAAGGTTTGAATTTTCTGTATATTATTGATATGAACGGGGAAGTAAAATATATACATAGATTATACATGATTAACTCCATGAAAGAAGGAGTTGACTTCCTAACTAAGTAAATATACATAAGGTAAATATACAACAATCAGGGATTTGATTCGTAGATTTCTCAACAGTTTATATGGTTAGTAAGTTAAATTGTTAAATTGTTAGTTGTTAGGTGAGAGAGAGATCGGTAGGGATTGAATCCGCAATAGAGTGCATAAACATGATTGTTTTCTGTCACTACGATAAAATGTCATTTGCCATATATTTGTTCTTTAAAGTGATGTATGTTGTGGATAGTAACTAAGCAAACGGAAGGAGATTAAGCTTATTAGTTAGTTGTGCCTGGTTCCGTCTATTTCATACAGTTTATTAGATAAGTGTAATGGCATGTAAGGTAATGATGTCTATTAGCCTATTATTGTGAACAGTGGCAGAATTTCAAACTTATTTCTCATTATACTTTCTGTATTGTTTCATTTGGAAAGGCTAATTTTTTTTTTTTTGTTTGAATATCCATTTTGTTCTGTTAGCGTTGTTGTTAGAACTCATTTTCGGTTATCCATATCATTAAATATCTATACCAAATGAAATGCATATATTATCCTGTTTTCAATATTGTTTTATAAGATCCCGAAAGTTTATTGAATGGTATAGATTAGCTACTACAAGAAATTTTCTTGGCTATAGGCGAAGCCTGGTAGTTTTGGTTTGTTAGGAGAAGTCGAGATGATCTCTCAACCCCTTGATTATATCAATAGTTTAGATAGTTTGAAAAGAAGAATCCATAGCCAGCCGACAAAGATATGTCATGTTTCTGCAAATGGTTGGTGCCGTCTTTATTCACTCCTTACCCGATGGTTGCAAATGCATGGTTCAGTTCTTTCCCACGATCATTGGAGAAAATCCCACCATAGGAAACTGAAAGGCTCGTCATGGAGACACGGCCTTCAATAGGTCGTTTTCACTGTGGAAGGCATGTTCCATAGCCGGTTATCTGGGAAGCATGCTCGTTTTGTCACTTGCTCGGTTTTGCTATATGTATTCAAAGGCGTAATCCAGCAAACTGCCGTTGCAGCTGTGGTTATTGATTTAGCCTAAGCAGGGTAGGAAAATTCATTGTTGAATATAAAGGTAAAATAATGTAATTTCATAGAACATACTTTTTGCAAGTACAAAATATGGGCATTTTCACAGCCTATGGGTTTTGTCTGTAGTACTTATAACCTATAGGCAAAGTGGAGAAGCTCACTCCGCCCTTTGATTAATACATTACATAGTCGGATAGCAAGGTCTTATAGCGAGGCCACAAACACCACCTGGGGCATCAGCGTTTCTAAGAATCTTCATGTAGCCATTCTCACCCCACGTATCAGACCATGAATTCTTGATTAACCAATAGGGGGTGCCATCTTCAGTTGTCCCATACCCAATGATGGTAACAGCGTGGTTCAATTTTGTCCCACAATCATCACCGGTGAACACCCCGCCTGAATAATGCTGAAAGGCTGGTGAGGCGTGGATGGAAACGGAGACTGGTTGCATGGACACAGCCTTGAGTAGATCGGTTTCACTGTTGGGAGGTACCTCTGCATAACCAGTTATGTGGGCAGCAGCCTCATTTGCCTTGTTCATATCACATGTGCCATCTAAACCCTGGTATGGGTAGTTTTCTTCACTGGTGATTCCTCCGTTTCGTTGAATGTATGCAAAGGCATTAACTGCCCGACCACCTTGGCAGCCCTCGTTAATTTCTGTATCACAGTTCACAAGTTGTTGCTCAGACAGTGAGATCAATTTGCCAGTTTTGATTTGGGTAATCCCTTCGACTGCTGCCACTGCGGCAAATGCCCAGCAACAACCTGCATGTATTCGAACAAACGGATATGAATTAATTTCCGTAGGAATGAATGCACGAAGAAAGTAATTAATGCAATACATACATATGTACAAGGAAGCTTAGCCCTATGTTAATATGGCGGTTGGTGCTCTTACCACAGCTCCCTTGAAATTTTACTGGAGTAACAGCACTCTTCTCCCTCCAGTCAATGCTTTGGGGAACATCAGCCGGGCTTAGGTTTTCGTATGTAAAAGATGCAGCAGCAGATGAGGTTGATTCAGTGGGCTGCTTGTATCCAGTATAATGCCTGAGGAATTCGTCATAGGTCATATCCGAAAATCGGTTGATGGATAGGCTGTAAGTCATGTTCCCTTCACTGTTGAATTTCTCGACAAACTCCACATTGTTTTTGAATATCTGGAAACGCCTTTCCTTCTCTGCGCTGTCCTGGTAAACGCGTCCATGCTTTTTCATCCACTGCTCATGTTTTGCAGCAATGGAAGCTTGGTACAATGTGCGGGACGTGGCTTCAGATGCCAAGGTCCCCAAGGTGATGAGTATGGTAACAATCAAAAGGTTTCTTTCAAAAGCCATTGCGGTGATGAGAGGGCGCTCTGTGTCGACAATGGCTTTGTTTCAAGTAGTGATTGGCAAGCTGGATGTGAAGAAGCAAGCATGATATTACCGGTTTATATAGAAGACGTTCGGGATGTCCTGCATGTGCACTTTGTTGAAATTGTTAGGATGGGAATTTGGAAGGGAGCCAAATTTCCAGGCACATTCCACAGGTTGATGATTCACGGTAAACTTCATCAATCAGTCTAGCCCGAATGCTACGCTTGTTTTGTTTTCGCCGTGGAGTTTGTGCACAAAGAAGTTCGAAGGATCCATTGATGACTCAAGGGTCTGATGACTACAAGTCCTTGGTCTATTTGCTGAAGTCTTTGCCCTTTGGCCTTTAGTTTCCGTTAAAGGTGCTGATGATTACAAATTTACCAATCTGCATCAGTGAACCTCATACCGAGTCCATACGGAATTGGGGTCAGGTTCATGAAATTTAAACGTAAAACTCCAGTATTTGATGATGATGTTTTTGAAATCCAAGTACTAACAATAGTAAGTCAATGCAGTGGCCCTCCAACTCAGAGTTGCTCGACTGGCACTCAAAGTGTTCTTCATGTAATTTAGTGTGCTTTTCAAAACTAATTCTCTTGAGGTTGCAGATCTTCTGAATTAATTTTATGCTCAGCTAATTGATAAAAATTGCTCTAATGTATATCAAGTTTCAACTTCATCAAGTGGAAAAACTATCTAAAATTTTAAGTCTAGAGAATCAAGGTATTTTGAGATAAAACTCTGCACACCTAAATGAAAAGAAAATTAGATCCACACACTTAATTATATTCTTTTCAAAACAACTTGATGCCGTCTTCAGTTATGCTAATCAGATACAAAATACAAGCCCTTTTTTATCAACGGAGCTTTCTCAATATTGAGAAGAAAATTAGATTTACGCACTTAATTGTAGCCTTTGAAGCCGACACGATCAATCTATAATTGGGTAGGAAGCCGTTGTAGCAAGGCCACAAAGACCTTTAGGAGGGCCAGCATCTCTAAGAATTCAAATGTAGCCATTTTTGCCCTAGCTCTCACCCCATTCATTCTTGAATATCCTGAACTTGGTGCCATCTGTAGTATTCAGTGGCGAAGCCAGGAATTAGTAGGGGGAGGGGCGAATTTAAAAGAGTGCAAAGTTTAAAAAAAGGGAAACAACCATTTCAATTTAGTAATATCGTCCATAATTTATCAATACAAACAAGTTACATTAAAAATCCTTTTCAGTGAAGACATCACTGCCAACATCTCCCGTTTTCATTTGAAAATATAGCAATAACGGCAAAATGCAGCATCTCTTGCTATATTTTACTCCAACCACTCATAAGTATCAAATCGACTATTTTGGCTTTCACTTGGAATGGAACGGAAAGCAGCTGCAAGGCTGCTGATGGTTGATTGAATGTTGCTGAGGTTGAAACAGATTTTTTCTGATTTTGCTTTAACCACTTTCTCATCATTTGATTGTGCTACTAAGTGGGTGTTGGATACGGGTTGTACTCATCATATGACTCATCACAAGGATTGGGTTTCAAGCTTGAAAGAGTTTGATGGTGGCGTTGTGTTCATAGGAGATGACAATCCTTGCACAACAAAAGGGATTGGTATAGTTCGTTTGAAGTTGCATGATGGCATGGTTAAAGAGTTGACAGGTGTTCGGTATGTACCGAATTTGAAGAAAAATCTTATTTCTTTGGGTACTTTGGAATCCAAGGGCTTCAGGTTTCATTCAGATGGACAGACATTGAAAGTTACTTATGGTGCACTTGTTGTGATGAAAGCTCATCGATGTGGCCATTTGTATTTATTGCAAGGAAGCACTGTGACAGGTGAAACATCTGTAGTCTCAGAAAATATGGGCATATATGATTCTGATACTACTAGACTGTGGCATATGAGATTAGGCCATGCCGGTGAGAAAGCTCTACAAGGGCTTGTGAAACAAGGTTTTCTAAAATGTGCCACGACTTGTAAGCTTGATTTATGCGAGCATTGTGTCTTAGGAAGCAAACTAGAGTGAAGTTTGGTACTGTGGTACATCAGACGAAGGGCATTCTTGATTATGTGCATTCAGATGTTTGGGGTCCTACAAAGACTCCCTCTTTGAGTGGTAGACATTGGTTCGTGACTTTTGTTGATGATTATTCAAGAAGGTCTTGGGTCTACACTATGAAGCACAAGAGTGAGGTGTTAAGCATTTTCTTGGGTTGAAAGAAAATGGTTGAAAACCAAACTGGGAGAAAGATTAAGATTTTGAGATTGGATAATGGTGGTGAATACACATCTGACCCTTTCTTTAAAGTTTGCAAAGAGGAAGGGATTGTGAGACATTTTAGTGTCTGGGGAACTCCACAACAAAATGGAGTTGCAGAAAGATTGAATCGAACCTTGCTTGAGAAGGTTAGATGCATGTTCTCAATCGGGTTTGAGCAAGTCGTTTTGGGCAGAGGCAGTTACTTATGCATGTCACATCATCAATCGGTTACCCTCAGCTGCTATTCAGGGTAAGACACCAATGGAGGTATGGACTGGAAAACCCTCTTCTGATTATGATCATATTCGTATTTTTGGTTCACCTGCTTATTTTCATGTAACTGAAAATAAACTTGATCCTAGAGCCAAAAATGCTATCTTTCTTGGTTTTTGTAGTGGTGTCAAAGGTTACCGGTTGTGGTGCCCAGAGATGAAGGAACTTGTAATTAGTAGAGATGTGACATTTGATGAAGAAAGTATGTACAAGGACTCTGAGAAGAATGTGAAAGATGTCCAACAGGTGGAGCTTGAGAAAGTTGCCTCTAGTACTTCAAATCTTTTTTATGCTGATGTCAAAGCCACTACAAGTGAAGAAGTTGGAGACCATGAGGATGTTGAAGAAGTTGAACTTGAAGATTCTATTCAAGTTGAAGAGCAAGTTTCACCTCAAGAGTCTATTGCCAAGAACAGAGGAAAGAGACAAATTACCAAGCCAGCCCGGTATAGTGACTATGTTGCTTTTGCTCTTCCTATTATCATTGATGATATTCCATCCAATTTCGAGGAAGCCATTGAGAGTGAGGAGAATGAGATGTGGTGCAATGCCATGGGTGATGAGATGAATTCTCTCTTGAAGAACAAGACTTGGGAGTTAGCTAAATTGCCTAAGGGCAAGAAAGCTATCACTTGCAAATGGGTGTATGCCAAGAAGGAAAATGCTGATGAGAAAAGCAATGTGAGATTCAAAGCAAGATTAGTTGCTAAAGGGTATGCACAAAATGATGGTATTGACTACAATGAAATCTTTTCTCCTGTTGTGAAGCACTCCTCAATTAGCATTATGTTAGCGCTTGTTGCACAGTATGATCTTGAGCTTGTGCAACTTAATGTGAAGACGGCTTTCTTACATGGTGATTTGAATGAAGAGATCTATATGTGTCAACCGGATGGGTATACAGTGAAAGGGAAGGAGAATTTGTTTTGCAAATTGAAGAAATCACTTTATGGCTTGAAGCAATCTCCAAGGCAATGGTATTTAAGGTTTGATAAATTTATGAAAGGCCAAAATTATTCTAGAAGTCAATATGATCATTGTGTGTACTTCAAGAATTTTCAAGATGGGTCTTTCATTTATTTGTTGATATATGTTGATGATCTGTTGATTGCCTCAAAGAATGTCGAAGAGATTGAGAAATTGAAGAAGCAAATGAAGAATGAGTTCGAGATGAAGGATCTTGGTGAAGCAAAGAAGATCCTTGGCATGGAGATCACTAGAGACAAAGAGAAAGGTTTGGTATGCTTCAATCAAAGACAATACCTTGAGAAGTTGATTCAGAAGTTTGGAGTTCATGATTCAACCAAACCGGTTAGTACCCCTTTAGCTCCTCATTTTAAATTGAGTTCTCTACAATGTCCTAAAGCTGATAAGGAGAAGCTGCAAATGAAAAATATACCATATGCAAATTTGGTTGGTAGTTTGATGTATGCAATGGTATGCTCTAGACTGGATATTGCTCATGCAGTTGGCATGGTGAGTCGATATATGCATAATCCTGGTAAAGAGCATTGGCAAGCAGCTAAGTGGATATTGAGGTATCTCCATGGTACTCAAGATGTTGGTTTATGTTTTGAGAGGGATGACTCTAGTATTGGTCATTTTGCAGTTGGTTATGTTGATTCAGATTATGCAGGTAATCTGGATGGAAGGAAGTCTACTACAGGCTATGTGTTTACTATGGCTAAAGGGCCAGTTTGTTGGAGGTCCATTTTGTAGTCGTCTGTTGCCTTGTCTACTACAGAGGCTGAATATATGGCAGTTCCTGAAGCTATAAAGGAGGCCATTTGGATACATAGGCTGATTAGAGATTTGGGGGTGGATCAGAAGCAGGTGCAGGTGCATTGTGATAGTCAGAGTGCCATTTATTTGGCTAAGTATCATGTTCACCATGCAAGGACCAAGCACATAGATGTGCGTTATCACTTTGTTCGTGAAGTTGTTGGTGAAGGAGAAATCATTCTCCAGACATTCCAACTAATGACAACCCCGTTGATATGTTGACTGAGGTTGTTGGTGTAGCCAAGTTTGTTCATTGCTTGAACTTGGCTCACATTTTGCCTATATAAAGAAGGTGATGAGCAGTAGGAGTTTTGGAGCATTTGGCTCAGTATGAGTTGTTCTCTTGGTTGTGTTTGGGAGTGTTTTTTGTGTTGGTTGGCTTATAATGGTGTTTTCGGAATTTGGCCAATGTGGAGATTGTTGGATAATGGCCAAATTAGTGGCCAACTTGGCATTCACTTTCGGCTAGTAAACAAAACAAAAGATTGAAGGACATAATGATGAGGAGGCATCATGATTATGTTTCCTTGTTTTGTGGCTTTTTCAAAGCCATAATTATTGGTTTTCTTCGGATGAAGAGAAAAAAAAGAGAAGAAGGGGCTCATTTTTTTCTGAAGAGAGAAGTGAGAGCTGCCGAGAGCAAGGAGAGTTGTAGAGAGCCCAAAAGGAAGAAGAAGATGATGCTTCATTTGGTTAGTAATCATCCACCAAAGTGGTTGTTGTTGAAATAACATTGAGCTATATGTATAGAGAAGAAATTATTCATTATATTTCTTTCTCTATTTTTTCTGTGGTGTGTGAGAGCTATTTGGTGTATTGAGTTATTTGGGTTGTGAGATTCCCAACACTTTGTAAACTCCCAATTGGTTGATAGTGGATTATTGGGTGAGCTCCTACTGCTCCGAAGACGTACT